TACATTAAATTCAACTTATTTATTTATTTGTTCATTGTGATGCGATGTTTGGCTTTTGGACAAAGCATTTTGCAGTGAGTCTGCTTTGTAAAGGGGCACCTTCCTACCCTTGGCATCCACTGGGAACATCCCTAAATTTGGATGGTGAAGTAAGACCGTATTTTAAATGCATTCTTGGAAGGGATGAAATGCTCAGGTTCTGGCAGCGTTTGACTTCCGACAGCCTAGTTGTTAAGCTATTACACGCAGTCTAATTGGTGGCGACAGCTTTTAACCTAAGAAGGTTTTGATGGGTGAAATTCTCCCTGTTTCTCACTGTTCTCGGTGCCTTAGTGAAATCCTGCTATTTTGTGTTTACCCTGGTGCCTAGTGGAGCACCTGATATTCGGTAAGCAGTCGGAAACTGATGGATAAACTGAATACCCATTCCTCAAACCATATAAAAAGTGCCGACGGAGCCTGAGGTTCCTCAGAGCTTGAAAACAGCACCGGAAGTGCTAATTGATATCACAGAGGGCATACGACTATATTAAAATAACTTACATTAAGTAATATAAACCACATGAGATATTTATATTTCTGGGTAAAAACGGTGCAGTGTTTAGGCAAGAGGTCATCATTTTTTCTGTCGTTGCCTTGTCAAAAGGAAGAGCTAAGTAGTTGAGCTTCTGCTGTACTGTTGTTTATTAACAGTATTCTTTGTATAAGAAAATTTTTTAATTGTTGCCAACATTTGAGTATCATATGACTTTCTCAACTGCAAGTTTTTTTTTTTTTTCTCCCGTACCGGGAACCGAACTCACGACCTTGCGCTTGCCAGGCAGGCGCTGTGCCGCTGAGCTAAATCCCCAGCCCCTCAACTTGCAATTTGAATGTCTGTTGATGATTCCTCCAACTCTTAGGAGACCCAAAACTGGCTATCAGAATCTGTCTCTTCTAGAAGGAGCTAGGACTTCTTGATGGGTGACAAAAGAACATAGCTACAGTAAGAGAGTAGGTGTAGAGATGCCAGGAAGTGCTTGTCATTCTCTCCTTCCTACATCCTCTTCCATTTCACTTTGGTAGACAAAGGATTGAACTGAATTGCTTAGTTGGCTATAAGACACTTGTTTATAGAATTTAGGTCGAGCTTTGTACCAAACGTTTTCAAAGGCACCTTTAATGTAATCTTTTTTTGTTTGTTTGTATTTTGGGACCAGGTCCAACTGTGTAGTCCAGGCTGGCCATGAATTCACGGTGAACCTCCTGCCTCAGCCTCTCAAATGCTGGGATTTCAGGCATGCACCACCATGCCCAGCTTATTTTTAATGTAATTTTTTTTTTTTTTTTTGTACTGGGAATTGAACTCAGGACTTGCCAGGCACCATGCCACTGAGCTATATCCCTGGCCCTTTCAGTGTAATCTTGAGAAGCCTGGCTGTATATCCACTTTACAGATTAGAAAACTAAGGTACAGTAGTGGCAAGTTAGGTAACTTGCCCAAGGTTACACAGTTTCTAAGTAGAAGAGCAAATATCTGAACTTGGCAATAACATGACTGGGCTCCAGAGCTCTACCTCATTTTCCTTATCTGTCAATTACAAATAATACAACTTCTACCTTATCAAGTTGTGAATATTGAGATAATGAAGTGAGGTACCTACAGCAGTGTCTGCCACCTAGCTGCCGTTACTAAAAATTTCCCTTAACAGTTACAATGCTAAGAGCGCACTTAGTATTTTTTTTTTAATTTTAAACTCTGTTGTGTTTTCTTCATTAAGCCAGGAAAAAATTTTGAAGGGGAGAAAAAGAGGCATCAAGCAGGATTCAGAATGGAAGCTGACATATTGTAAACTGCTATATTGTTCCCCATTGGCTGGAAGTCATATTAGTGAATTGTGAAATATTTTCACACGTGAAAGGAGAGAAATCAAATGTCTTGAAGAAGTGACATCATATTCTATACTTGTCATTCTTCTTTTGTTTTAATTTTCACTATGTATTTTCAGAAATCAGAGGAGTTGAGCCGGCTGTGGTAATGTGCACCTGTAATTCTAGCACTTAGGAAGCTGAGGCAGGAGGACTGCTTAAGTTTGAGGCCAGCCCTGGCTACATATTGAGTTCAAGGCCAGCCTGAATATATAGTGAGACCGTGTCTCAAAAACAAACCACAAAACAAAACAAAAAAGAAGCGGGAATCAGAAAAGTTTTACTCAACAAGTTCCCCTTGATATATAAATAGCTGGGTGATTTTAGCTTTTCTTTTCACTGGCAGCTCCAAATCCATTGATACTTTCCTTTATTTTAAATGTAAAATTATAAATTCAAAGCAATTAATAAATTATGTACTTCAGAGCAACAAAGGATAAATGTTTTCCTGTAATTACATAGATGTTTTAGTGATTCAGAATGAATGAAAACTCGAAAGTCTGCCCTAGGGACTTTCAAACTATGTAAAATAAGTTAGGCGTCCTGTATGGCCAAGGGAGTATTTGTTTTCATCTGCATTTTTCTCACTGATACATTTATGTAGGAAGCTAAAACTCTAGAAATGATGTTCTTTAATGAGATCCTTCCAGAAATTTCTACCATTTTGGTTACAGTTCTCTCAGTATCCCAGAGGACTGGTTCCAAGGCACCACCTCAGTACCAAAATTTGCAGATATTCTTGTTCTTTATATGAAATGGCATAATATTTGCACGTAACTGAGGCATGGCCTCAGATACCTTAAATCATCTCGCTTGTTTGTAATACCTAATACAATGCTATGAAAATAGGTGTTACACTATATTTAATAATGACAGGAAAAATAGTCTGTACCTGTTCAGTACTTGGGATTAATTTTATTTTTAGTTTTTCCTGAGACAGTCTCCCTGTATAGTCCAGGCTGGCCTCCGAACTCGTGGCAGTTCTTTTGCTTCAGTCTGTGGAGTGCTGGGATTATAGGTGTACACCGCTATACTAGGCGACTCAATTTTTTGAAAATATATTCAGCAGGACGTTGCAGAGGGCCAGCTGCACTTTGATAAGGACCGGAAGCATCACAGTTTCACTTTTTGGACATGTTTGCGTGTAATTCTGAAAAAATGCACACTAATTTCAGTGTTTTGGAGCAAAACGCGTGTGTGTGCGTGTAAGCTTTTAAATTTTGGACCTAAAAGAAAACCTCTCCGCTTTGTATATTACTTTGCCTACTAATTTTTAACTCTTTAAACATTTTTGTACTCTGCACGTTGGTCTTTGTTTCTTTGATAGTGTTGGTCACCTCTGCTTCACCAGATGCTTAAGATTTAAAAAAAAGGAAATTCACCTCTCCACCTAGTCAGAAAAGCACCTGTGAGCAAGCGGGTTTAAACAGATTACAGAAGTCCTGCTGTTACTGCGGCATGCAGCACGATGATCGGAAAGGCGCTTTGTCTCAGGCTTTCATTTTTACATCAGTCTGAGAGAGCAGTCAGCAGAGCAACACCTTTAGGGGCTCTTCTGGATGTGGTGTGCTGTCGTTTCAAGTACTGTCTTTAAGAAGTGCATATGCATTTGGAGAGGAGCGAAGCTCTGTGGGCTAAGCCAAATTCCGAGGACAAAGATTGGCCAAAACTAAGAAAACTTGCTTTCTTCGAATTCTGTACAGTTCTCACCATACCCAAGAAAGATTACACAAAAGAGGGAAAGATTAACCAAGTTAAAAATGAATCCAGTTTAGCCGTGGTGGCGCACGCATGTCGTTGAGAGTTCGAGACCAGCCTGGGCTACAAAGTGAACTCAAGGCCAGCCTGAACCGCACAGGGAGACCCTGTCTCAAAAACACCAAAAAAAAGCGCCTGCCTGGCAAGTGCAAGGTCGTGAGTTCGGTTCCCGGTCCAGAAAAAAAAAAAAAAAAAAAAAAAAAAAAAATCCAAGGTTTAAATGGCAAGGTTTTATTTTGGGGGTAAAGGAATTACTTCCCGGAGCCACACAAGGGGAAGTACACAAACTTGGGGTAGTAGCTCCAAAATGTGCCAGCGGAGCTCGCCTCGGGCTCTCCTCGCAGAGGCCGCGGCCCCTCCCGGGGTCGGGGACGGGG